CAGCTTCCCAACAGTCTGGCAGAACAACACCATCCCTTCCCTCCCATGATGTTTAGAAATGACAACACTTTGTATTGTATTATTAATTGGCTTTTGCTCAGTGATTTTCTTTAACATTGTTGTGTCTGCAACGTGTTTTCAAACGATCATTTTTAATTTTATCTGTCTTTCATTCGCTCAACGATGTTTTTGTCTCATTAATGCGATGTTTTTCAATGTTCCAAAGGTGTATTTCAATTTCTTGTTTAACATTTTATTGAGCTAACCATTTTTATGATAATTTTTTATGATCGCCGAAGTAGACATGAATCTTCTTAATTGACTTCAAAATGATGATTTGATTGAATAATTACTAACAATTTTATTTTTTAATCTATATTCTTCCCAATGCTTTTATCATTCAATGCGGTTGTCTCAAAGCAATTTGAGTTTTTCATTACAGTCTAGTCTTGTATTTCTCGGGACAACTAAATATTAAAAAAGGTTAATTATTGACACTCCATCTTCAAAGACGATGAAACTTCCGTGAAACAGAATTTATCAAAAATACTGTTTCGTCGTGATATAGTGCCGAAGATCACTTCGATAAACTCTCAGCGAGTAGTGTCAAACCACAATCGTTAAAGGATGCTTATGAGTATCACAAGATGTTTGTTTATGACACTTCTTTCAGCAAGCTTTTGTTATATTTTACGCGTATCTATTATGAATCTCAATGAAATAATTAGCTTTAATTAAACAACAAAATCACGTTTATCAACGGTGTTTTATTCAGGTTATTTTTGTACTACCACGTACATGTAAAAGGGTTTACACTTAAAGATACACAGGCAGTTAATACATCGACAATAGTTACTCGTCTTATATTATGGTATGATACCATCAAACAAAAATTGGTTTTAATAACATTATAAACCAAGCAAGTGTATCGTCTGTATTTGTGATGTCGTTGTAAACCAAAATTTTATCTTTTATGAAAATACAATCATGGTGATATCATTAATGAATAAATATGATCTGTAACGAACGTATAACCAGAAACTAGTTCACAATGTTAATAAATCTCATGTGTTCAGTGTGGATAACTATTTCAAGGGTGGGTGTGACAGGACCTGAACGATCTCTCAAGCTATTTGAAAAGATTTGGCTAATAATAAATTAATCCCTCTTTCTCTCTGTATTGTCTTGGATTGTTGCTGAGAAGTTCTTGGTGGATTTGTAGTTTTTATGAGACAATTTGATGAAATATCAGTGAATTACAACAGCAACTTTAAACGAAACTAAGAGTGCTTTGAGGACACACACACGTTAATGATAACAGCTCTGGGATCAAACACAGATCTAGGACAACTCTTCATCCTCAATGAGAAAACATTTCCCATAAAGAGCCAGTTCGATTCGTTTCCAATCTTCTCATACAATGAAATGAGGAAATGACACAAATTAGCCTCAAATACATCCACAAAGCTCCAATAAAATTCTTCATCGATACAACACAGATTTGATGAATTCTAAACTTAACGGCAAGGTTTTGTTTTGCCAGACTGTTCCTACCGAATTGTGGAAGGTGGCTTCTGTTCGTGGAGTGCCTGCGAAGGAGACTGCTCATGGATGTTGAAATTTGTATTTTATTTACTTTGCAAATCATTCTCTCTCGTTAATCACTTGCAACAACAAAATTGTGTTCTCTCTTTTTGAAATTTTCATCTCATTGTACTCTCTAAATTCCTCTTTTGAGTAGTAGTAGTAGTAGATGTTGATGCATCCCTTCTTC